CTCCCTCAAGCGGTCAATGATTGGAAGAAGGTGAGATTGAAGAATTTGATTCATGTAGCGATTTGCTGTCAAATGTCCCTGAACCACATCGAAGTCATATCTCTTGGTGTAGGTTATGACCCCCACATCATGACACTACCGCCACCGAAATTGTCGAATTCACGTACACAATGTGGGGAAAAACGCTCATTTCGACGACGATAAACACGTTGTCTTCCATCTCGCCGGTGAAGAAGTAATCTTGATTCATCGTTTAACCACACTTGTCTCCAGGTTCTCAAATTCCAAGGCTTTAAGGTATGGCACCAACGCAAGCGTCGCTGGATCTGTTGCAAAACAGGGACGATAACTGGTATTCTGGGTCGGATTCCAGCCTAGCGAAGATGGTTCCTGAAAGTCTGGTCCGATATCCTCCTCAAACCAAGGTTGCGTCCTGCAGTCTCGTAGGTGTGGCACTGCGTTGATGTAGGTGGAACAGTCGAATGTAGCGATCCTGTGCAGGGGTGGTAACTCTTGGTCTGCAGTGGAATTGAACTGTGTGTATCGGTCACAAAGACGGCAAATGGTGCTGTGGTGGGCGTTGAAGTGGCGTGCAACAGAAGACTGCGATTCCCTTCTTTGGATACGTCCTATGGCGATGTTCCGATCGGCAGCGCTGAGTCTCGGCATTTTCGAACTTGAAAAATGATGACAACTGAATGACAAATTATTGGCTTATGCTTGCCTTTTTCAGAGCCACTACTACGGGTTACGAATGCCATAACTTGCACGTGCATTTTGCTTTACTGTTTTCCTCAATGACATTATGAACAGGTGTGAAAACAATGCCGTTTAAGACATTGCAAATCGACAATGGCTGCGTTTTGATGCACTGTTTGTCGAATATCAGGCCACCAATATTTTCCAATAACAAATATTCAATTTATATTCCGTTTTTTTGTGTGTACATACTACACGTGCGTTCCTTTTTTTGAAGAGTGTATTACGGCGCGTGCCCATGATTGGTTAATCCATACATGTGTTAATCCAGACGGTTTCACGGTTTTCCCACTAAATAGTGTGATCATGAATGGTCTCTCACTCAATTATCCCATGGGAATCCTGGGTTAGAATTATTCCCTATAATCAGGCGACTAGGTTCTGATTTGGCTGACTGTGTGTCACCTTCATCGTTACTCATGCTTTCATTCACTGGTTTGTCTGGTACAGGCTCGACAATTTACAGCTTTGATACCTCTGAGATAACAACGGCGTTAAACAAAATTCACTTTTTCACACTGTAACATCAGAACTATATGTTTTCAGGTCCCACAACCCCAAGCATGATTGCCAGCATTGAGCATTCAAACAGAATCACCACGCCTTCACACGACATCATCGCCAAATCGTTATCATCCCGCATCATGGCCTCTACAGTGTTGCTGAGGATATTATGCACTTACTGCCAGAAGATTGAAAGGAGTCATTATCAAGGCTACAGCTGTCAGACAGTGTGTGTGACGACGTCATCGTCGGGGTGACACTCACGAAGTTCTACCACTCACTGTTAAGATAGGACTTCAAGTATACAAAATAATGGTGCCAGTTAAAGGAGGCCTGACTAGTGTCGTTAAGGAGTTGATTCGTCACGCTGAACATCCGCGGTTCTTTTCCCAATATGGGTAATCATGAACTCAATGAGACATTGACGATATCTACTGAGGGTAATCATGACTTGCTAGATTTATGTTCATCCTAACATTGTGAAACATTAAAGTGGTGTTTGATTTGATTGAATCAGACTTCCTGGGACTAATCGGTACCAAAAGCGAGTCTCTTTTAAAGGTATCAGAAAATGGAGTAATCAGAAACTTTTTACTAGATGGTGCGTGCGTGCGTGCGTGCGTGCGTGCGTGCGTGCGTGCGTGTATATATTGATAACAGTTATAACCAAGCCCAGACAAAATCACTGGGTAACAACGAAAGCAACGATCTATAGTGTTTGTTTTTTGTTTTTTTTATAAACAGTAACCGCGTTAATCTGGGCGGTATTAAAACGGGTAAACGAGTCATGGATACGAATTTAAACATGCCAACACAGACACTACATCCCATGTCGATTGTGTTTGTAACTGTAAAGCCTACACAGACACTCAATCCCATGTCTACTGTGTGTGTTACAGTAAAGCCTACACAGACACTACAATCCATGTCCTCTGTGTATGTTACCGTAAAGACTACACAGACATTCAATCCCATGTCTAGTGTGTGAGTTACTGTAAAGCCTACACAGACACTACAATGCATGTCCTCTGTGTATGTTACTGTAAAGCCTACACGGATACTACAATCCATGTCCTCTGTGTATGTTACAGTAAAGCCTACACAGACACTCCGATCCATGTCCTCTGTGTATGTTACAGTTAAGCCTACACAGACACTCCATCCCATGTCCAGTGTGTATGTTACAGTAAAGCCTACACAGACACTCCATCCCATGTCCAGTGTGTATATTACCGTAAAGCCTACACAGACACTACAATCCATGTCCTCTGTGTATGTTACCGTAAAGCCTACACAGACACTCCATCCCATGTCCAGTGTGTGTGTTACAGTAAAGCCTACACAGACACTACGATCCATGTCCACTGTGTGTGTTACAGTAAAGCCTACAGAGACACTACAATCCATGTCCTCTGTGTATGTTACCGTAAAGCCTACACAGACACTACGATCCATGTCCACTGTGTGTGTTACAGTAAAGCCTACAGAGACACTACAATCCATGTCCACTGTGTATGTTACCGTAAAGCCTACACAGACACTACAATCCATGTCCTCTGTGTGTGTTACAGTAAAGCCTACACAGACACTACAATCCATGTCCTCTGTGTATGTTACAGTAAAGCCTACACAGACACTACAATCCATGTCCTCTGTGTGTGTTACAGTAAAGCCTACACAGACACTACAATCCATGTCCTCTGTGTGTGTTACCGTAAAGCCTACACAGACACTACAATCCATGTCCTCTGTGTATGTTACAGTAAAGCCTACACAGACACTCCTTCCCATGTCCAGTGTGTGGGTTACAGTAAAGCCTACACAGACACTACAATCCATGTCCTCTGTGTATGTTACCGCAAAGCCTTCACAGACACTACAACCCATGTCCACTGTGTGTGTTACAGTAAAGCCTACACGGACACTATGATCCATGTCAAGTGTGTATGTTACTGTAAAGCCTACACAGACACTCCATCCCATGTCCACTGTGTGTGTTACAGTAACGCCTACACAGACACTGCAATCCATGTCCTCTGTGTATGTTACAGTAACGCCTACTCGGACACTGCAATCTATGTCCACTGTGTGTGCTACAGTAAAGCCTACACAGACACTACGATCTATGTCCACTGTGTGTGTTACAGTAAAGCCGACACAGACACTACAATCCATATCCACTGTGTTTGTCACAAGTGTCTAAGCTCAACTGAAAAAAATCCTCTTTAATGGAGCATATTACTCATTGCCTCTCAGGAGATCTCTGGGCGCTGAATAATTGTGTAACTTAATATAATTAATGCCTAACTCAGAACTTATTTCACTGAGTAGGTCCAGGTCAGAGGTCAACAAATTCGGCGCCTGTGGGCATGATGTCAGGGAGCGTGGGCGTTGAGCCGGATGCCGCGTTGAGATCCGGACGGAGTACCAGGAAATGTCGCTATGATCATTTTTACAGCCTCTTTACTGAGGAATGTTATTATGATCCAACCGCAAGCTGTTCTAACCGTATCTGAATGAGAACTTCCTTACACAGTTACGGCAATCGTCGAAATTATGTTTTTTATCTACATTAATATCCAAACAAACTATAAAAAACAATTGACGACGGTTATGGAGCTCAGATACCCATTTGTCACATACACATGCGAAACAGCTGGCCAGATATCAGTTATCCAATCTAGAAGTAATCATTGATATCGAGATCGTTAAGAACGATAACTGAGTTAACCCTGTTAGTGGAAATTGCTTGTTATTATCCATTATGCACACGGTTTCTGGGGTCGCACGGTCTTGTACACTTAGCCGTCGTGATTATTGAGGTTTTGCATAAGATTGGGGGCACAGCCTTTCTAAGTAGATAACAGGGTTTCGAAATGTTTAAATTTAAAATCATGAATGTTACATTTGTGAGATAAAAAACATTATAACTATCTATGTCTGAATCTGTGTATAATTATATGGCTGCAAAATAGCCGATGCGACTGTCTTTATGTGCATATGTACACGTCTAAATCTGCATATGTAGCTATCTAATTCTGCGTATTTTTTAGCCTTCATGTGCATGTGTATCTGTCTACACCTGTATCTAGTTTTGCATATGCATCTGTCTACATCTGCATGTGTATCTGTCTATATCTGCAAATGTAGCTGTCTACAACTGCATATGTAGCTGTCTACATCTGCATATGTAGCTGTCTACATCTACATATGTTTCTGCCTACATCTGCATGTGTATCTGTCTACATCTGCATATATAGCTGTCTACATCTGCATATGTAGCTGTCTACATTTGCATATATAGCTGTCTACATCTGCATATGTAGCTGTCTACATCAGATCTGCATATATAGCTGTCTACATCTGCATATGCAGCTGTCTAATTCTGCAAATGGATCTGTCTACATCTGTATGTGTAGCTGTCTGAATCTGCATGTGTATATCTCTACATCTGCATATGTATCTGTCCAATTCACATTCACATGATGAAAATAACTCAAAATCAGCCATGTGATCACAAACGACAACAGGATATTCCAGTTTTCATCTGCCTATACAAATAACACGAGAAATTAGATTTAAATACTTTAAATGGCTCTTATCTGAGGTCACGGTGCTTATTAAGTCGGTGCAATTACACTTTCCAAACGCTCGATAAACTATCTCGGATAAACTACACGTGCCGGAAGCCCATAAATAGAGATATTTGACAACCCTCGCCCCCAGTTTCACTCAAGCTTCAGCATGGGGAGGTCAGTTGTAGTTGCTGTTCTGTGTGTCGTGGTGGTAGTGTCGGGCGCTGTTCATGACGACACTCAAGTTTCGCAGCTGAGAGAAGAAGTCAATAAACTGAAACGACGAGGTATTAAAGCTGATTTGAGGAAAATATCCAACCAGTTACGGGGATTGGAAAGCATGTTGAGGCGTGTGGAAAGAGGTGTTGCAGAACAAAAGGTTTGTCTCCGTGACCAAGGTGACTCAATTCAAAATATCATGAACCACTGCTGCGTCGGAGACAGAACTTCTGGTTCAACGGAATCGCCCTCTGAAAACGTCATTTCCACTACTGAAGCTCCCGACCGTAAGCGAAGTTTATTAACCAAAGAAGCCTTTTAACTGTTATTTGAGATGCAAGCACAAATAATTCGTCACTACTCGGCCCTTTTCGTAACCTGTAATTGATGTGTCACCACACGCGCCTTTCCGTAACCTGTAATTGATTTCGTCACCAATCGGTCATTTTCCTTACCTGTAATTGATTTCGTCACCAATCGTCCTTTTCCTTACCTGTAATTGATTTCGTCACCAATCGTCCTTTTCCTTACCTGTAATTGATTTCGTCACCAATCGGTTCCTTCCGCAATCTGTAATTGATTTCGTCACCTCTCGCCCCTTTCCGTAACCTCGATTTCATCCACACTAGCCCCTTTCCGTAACCTGTAAGTGATTTCGTCACCACTCGCCCCTTTCCGTAACCTCTATTTGATTTTGTCCCAACTCGCCCCTTTCCGTAACCTGTAAATAATTTCGTCACAATCGGCTCTTTCCGTAACCTGTCAATTATTTCGTCAATTCGTGACCAACTCGTGTTTTCCCGGGACAAGCCGAATAGTGACTCGTGCCCCTCTCGTGGCCCTTTTTGCGACCGGGTTCCGTCTTAGCGCAAACGGGCATACCTAAAACAATTGTCAACTCGTTGCGTCATAGTTCACATATAATTCCCCATATAATATATATATGCAGATGCAATTTAAAGCACATTGTGACATGCGGAATAATACAGTATGATTGAACAAATTTAACTGTGTCTTGGGTATATTTTTAGATGCAAGACATATGTAAAATCCAAAATTATTTCTGAGGGATTCTTTGACGAAAAACTTGAAATCATACGCGCATTCTGAATGGTTTGTCTTATTTTCGCACATAACATTCATCGAAAGGGGGACGAGTCTTCTTACAGGTTACGGAAAGGGGCGAGTGGTGACGAATGTTATTTCGTCACCACTCGCCCATTTCTATCACTAGCCCATGGGATCATCCAGAAAGTGCGTATTGTTCGAGGTTCCTTGTTCTAATTATGCTTGTCAAATAATTTTGGTTATTGGTATAACTAATTAATTAACATTTCGCACGACGTACGCGTGTTATGAATGCAAGAGTGTAACAAAGGTGTCACGTGCCGGGAAGGAGCTTGGTTTCTGGCGTGCCTTTTGGCAACAACTCTGCCCAGTGGCGCCTCACACGATTGGGCCAACTGCTTTACAAAAACTACTGCACATCACCGACAATCATTCGAACCCATCACCTAATTCAATAGGTCCTTTCGAGCTTGTGCATAACTGGCAATATGGGACCTTTGACACCTCAGACTGATTTACCAGATTGATGAGTTCTTACATTTGCTCTTAAGGGATACACTAGTAACAATCTGTGTATGTGCAGGTGCGTGCGTGCGCGCGTTTGTGTGTGTGCGTGCGTGCGTGTGTGTGTGTGTATGTGCGTGCGTGCGTGCGTGTGTGCGTGTGTGTGTATGTGTGTAGGCACACAATTTGACTTGGACCCACACCAAAAATACACAATTTTTAAGCAAATCCAGTGAAAACAGAAAAACCCTGAGGCATCTTTATTGTTCCAGTATCCCTTTTTATTTTATACTTAACATGGACAAGCTGTGAATTTGACCGATCTTTCACGACGGACTGTCCATGAAAAAGTTGTGAAAGGCATCGCGCAGACACTTTCATCGCTTATAAATTCTTCTAATCGACTGTACCAATTGGGCTGTTGTATCATGTTGAGTAGGACACTCCAACATGAAGGATCACGTTCTCTTTTCCAGAGCAACTGTCACCAACTGTAGTCGTCGTTGTCGGGACAACGCGCACGACGATTGAGCTGGTGATGACACCCTCTTCTAACTATGGGGACCGAGAGGTCACATGGTATCAAGTTCGGCATAATACTTCCGGTTACGATGTCGTCTACTCTGTTGTTGGTAAGTAATAGACACGTCACATTGATACCCCTTACGGAAAGATGCGAATGCTGCCGAATGATGTAAGTACGATTAAAAAAACGACAATACCAATGCACAGTCATTAACGTTTTAATATTAACAAATCTACGACTCTGTTTGCTTTTAGGTAGTCAAACGGACATTCGTCATTTTGTGGTGACGGGTTTGGTGCCCAACACGCAATACACTTTTCAAGTGACTGCATGGTACAGCGCTAACGACGGAGAGATTGCAAACGTCACAGCAAAAACACTGCGTGGGAGTAAGTATATAAACTATATAAGTATATAATCTACACTGTCACACACCTCTGTAAATATACTCTTCAAAAAAGGAAACGTAATACGGATATTTGGGCCATAAAATCAAAATAAGCAGAACCAAGAGGTCCAAAATGAAGAGGTTTGATGTATTATAGTGTCAGTGACAAAGTTCCCGGATCAAAATGATCACAACAAGGACATGCAAACCATTAGTCGGGAAACACGTACGATTCGGAAAAATGCACCCAGTGCAGTAACAAAAGGGACATGGAGCAGCAGCACTATGAACGGTATTAAAGTGCAGGGTTTTTGATTGCCTGGCATCTGCGTCAATCGAACAGTGACAGTTCAACAACATGTCAAGATTAACAGAAGTGCAAAGAAACAACCTCATAGGCCGCTTGCAGGCAGAGGAATCCCGATCAGCTGTTGCCAGGGTTTTCAATGTAGCGCCCAGCACCATCACAAGGCTATGGGATCGGTTTCAACAGCATGGGTCAACACGCGATCGGCCAAGGTCGGGACGACCAAGAGTAACAACCCCCGCCCATGATCGCTACATCCAACTGCTCCACCTACGTGAAAGGACAGCAACCTAGGCCAACCGCATCCCAAATATCCGGACTGCGCAGAATCCCCGACCAGACCGTACGAAACAGTTTAAGAGTAGCAGGTCTACGAGCAAGACGTCATATTGGCGTCAACACAGGGTATGGCCTCAACTGCGATGGAGAGATGTATTGTTCAGCGACGAATAAAGATTTCTCCTCCGTCGAGGGGATGGAAGAGCACAGCTCTGCAGACGTCGGGGAGAACGTTACGCCGGAAACTGCGTACAGGAAGTGGACAGGTTTGGTGGGGGTAGCGTTACGATGTGGGCGGCTATCTCTCCTCATGGCAGGACAGGTTTGAACATATCCAAGGCAATCTCAGGACTCAATGATACATCAACGAATTTCGCATACCACAAGTCCTCCCAATTGCAGCCAACGGCAACAGGAGCCTGTCTACACAACAACAACGTTGATGTTCTCCCCTGGCCCTCCTGATCCCCGGATTTGAACCCGAAAGAGCACCTGTAGGATGAGTTGGATAGACGGCTACGCCGACGTCAACCACAACCCCAGACGTTGCAGCAGTTGGCTTTTGCGTTAAAGGCCGTGTGGGCTACCATTCCCAAGGATGTGATTTGCATACTCGTCCCTTCCATGGGCAGGAGATGTCAGGCCGCTATCGATTCCAACAGGGAACATACGCATAATTGATGGCAGCTGACTTTTCCTATGTACCGATAACTAAGATGACAACAATCACCAACAACATTTTGGCTCTATACCTTTCACGGTTTCTCGTATAAATGTATTTTCCTAGCTCACACAAACCCATGCTTGTCGTAAATGGCGACGATGCTTGTGGTAAGAGGCGAATAACGGGATCGAGTTGTCAGACTCGCTGACTTGGTTGATGCATGTCATCGTATCTCCATTGCTTAGATCGATGCTTATGATTTCACAATCACTGGACTGTCTGGTCCTGACTCGATTATTTACAGACCGCCGTCATATAGCTGGAATATTGCTGAGTGCGGCGTTAAAAAACAAACAAACCAAACAACAAAAGCTCCATAAAAATCTGTTTTTTAGGAGTATATAATTAGATTACCCTACCTCCCCGTGAGGATTCATGGGCGCGGATTGCCCAGTCGTCTGAGGCACCGCAAGTCGATGTCCATAGTCTGTTGTAGCGACTAAAGAACTTTGTTTCAGCCGTCCCGTCAGCTCCAGTCGTCAACATTGGTGAACTCACAAACAACTCTGTGGAGTTGCTGATGTCCAAGCCAGCATCTGATGAAGACGTGGACGTCGATTCCTATGTTATTGTTTATCCACGTATGACAAATGAGCATCGCTTCAACGTAAAAATCAGTAAGTATTTCCATACAGGTTAAGTTGGAGTTTAACGTCGCGTCCAAGATTATTGCCTCATACAGCGACGTGCGTGTGTGCGTCGAGCGCTCTTGTCCTTGTCCGAACGTCTATTGTGCTGACCCACTGAGATACCGTGACACAGATTAACATGGATAATCTAATGTCTCCATGCCGACCAGTCCGTGTTGTATCCTCTTAATGCCGAACGCCAGGAAACAACAAGTACAATTTCTTTTGATGGCTTGGTCGCATCTCACAACTGAAAGAGTTGTGAGATAATTATTGCTGTAGAACGGTCACAACAATGAGATCGACTTGTTTCAGATCTGTATTTCAATATGAGCAATATGTCAATTGTAAAATTAAAAAAGAAATACAGAAAATTAACACAGGAGACGATTTCCCATTTTTTAACTTTATATGGAAATATGTAGTATGCGAAGTTTAGCCTTTTTCTTGCGTTTAGCTTGCCGGCATCCAGTAATGCCTGATAATTCAGCACCATACTAGCGTGTAACACCGAGGTGACTGAACATATACAATCTGATCCTTAAATATGCCCTCACATTGCAATATCACCGAAGTTCTGTGGGTCAAACACTTCACTTAAGCCAACGTGAGTTAATATATACCTAATTTCTTGGAGGTGATTGTTAGCATTGTAAACCCTTGATGTTTTATCATGGCCAGGTGAGCTTACACACGGTATTTAAAATTCACAGCGCCACCTGTCACCAGATTTTGGGTCAACAGTACGTGGCCACAGACTATTCAGGTTCAAGCAGCAGCTGGTAGGGAGACTGGACCAGAAGTGCTTGTTCTTGCTTCTCCTTTATCGGACCGTAAGTTGATGAGGAAATCAGTTTCTCGTGTGTTGCTCATGCTCTACTTCGCCATTACTGTGGCCGGATGTTGTCAGACTTTAAGGGCGGGTAACTCTGACCATACTCCAGTACCGGTGACATTTTGAAAAACGTTTCTGTATCCTGCCTTTGATATTTTTTGCTGGATTTTTATGATGCACTAATTTGACATATTGCTGGAGGAAAATGAACAAACTCGAGAGCAATACATGTAATGAAACATGATAGGACGGCCATCTTGTCTGAGAACGTGTGGGGGACAAGTTTTCTTCTCACTGAAAATGCAGAATGATTGTTTTGCTTCTTTATTTACTTTCAAATCCAGGTGGTTGATGCTAAATAAACTCAGTATAACTCTGTGAAAACCCTTACATAATCAGGTGAGTTTTCCAGGTTTGTCACCTCCATAACCGTGGTCGTGTGTTTCACCACAAATTTATATACGTCTTTGACTTGCATCACTTCATAAAAAAAATCCCCAAATATTCATAATCCCTATCTTAGTGCGAAATACAATAATATCATTACAATATATGTTAAAATGTCAAGTTTAGTATTTTCTGTTCTTAGAACAACCATTGTGGTTATCTTTTCTTTTCAATCATTCAAGACGTATATAACTATTCCAAGATTCCAAGGTGAGGTCAAGCGCTCTAAGATGTATTTGTTTTATTTCATCTTTAGAGAAAACTACTCCGTAAGGTTCGGTGTAGCAATTGGTCTTCCACACTCCGCATTTGTCGTAGGAGGTGACTAAGCTTGTCGTAAGAGGCGACTATGCTTGTCGTAAGAGGTGACTATGCTTGTCGTAAGAGGCGACTATGCTTGTCGTAAGAGGTGACTATGCTTGTCGTAAGAGGTGACTATGCTTGTCGTAAGAGGCGACTATGCTTGTCGTAAGAGGTGACTATGCTTGTCGTAAGAGGTGACTATGCTTGTCGTAAGAGGTGACTATGCTTGTCGTAAGAGGTGACTATGCTTGTCGTAAGAGGCGACTGTGCTTGTCGTAAGAGGCGAATATGCTTGTCGTAAGAGGTGACTCACTGGATTGTCTGGTCCAGATTCGTTTATTTACAGAATGTTGTCATAAAGCTTCAAAATATTGCTGAGTGTAACGTTAAACACAAACAAACAAACAAAACCACAGGAAACACCGGCCAACACTGCAAATATAGAGTACTGGAGACAGGCTGTCAATGCTGAGGGACGAATACTCTTGCCAGTGCAGATCAGTTCAGTCATCGCATGTGATACAATGAACTCCAATCAGATCAATTTGAAGAAGAGAGTATCGATTACCTCCCTTTAGAGGATTTTATTACGATGCATCACAGCTAGGTCAGCCCACAACCTCGTTTGAACAAGGACCATATTGTAATTTTACAGAACAAACATAAAGTAATATTAATATAGAGTAACGGGGTGAAAGGCGGTATTATTCCCTACTAATATGAAATAACGTCATGTTTACAGCTACGGTAGAAAGAGGCTGATTGTGTCTGGTGACCCTACAGCGGTGATCTCCCTTGTCTCTCTCCATCATTGTCAAGATATTGTCACCATACATGGTGTATTTAATTTGTAACTATACAATGCTGAAATGTGAACGGGGAATAAATCAGGATTTATTTCTTAAACGTTGATTAAAATTTCTTTTATGGCTCATCCCAATGTGTCATTTTCATGATCTGCGGTGACACCAAAAATGATTTCCCACATTTCTTCCTTGTGTGGAATCGAACCCGGAACTTCGGCGTGATGAGCGAACGCCTTGCCCACTATGCCACAGCTTCCTCCCAATCCTCATGAGTCATGGCCTTGGCAGATGTCAAAGTCGAGGGGGGGGGGGGGGGGGGGGGGTTGTCGAAAAAGAGACTTTTGGTTCATAAACAACCACATATACAAGAAGGGAAAATCGTGCGCTGGGTTCAGGAGCTTTCGAGTTTTATCTTGATATTGAACAAATAGCCTCACAAACTCCTTGTTTAAAATAAAAACTCCTTGTAAAGGGGATATCGTTTGAACTGGGAAGGTGAAGGAGTGGGTGTTTTTTCTTCCCAACGCCTTCACAGACAGATTCCACGGATTGTGAGAAAATATGATATACTTCCGAAACATGCATTTGACATAGTTGGCATGAAACTTGTGTACTGGTGTATAGCAGTGAAGTATTGGGAATTGAAGACATGGAAAAGATAGAAATAGTATGAAGCTATTTTTTAAGTTGATTCCAAATGTTGGCGAATCCTTGTTGTAGTCTGTGGAGATTGTGGTAGACATTCGTTATATATTAACTATCATACAAACTATTAAGTACTGGTTGAAATTAATAACAAGGCCTGCTAACAGATACTGATATCAAACATATCAAAAGTTACCACAGATATTAAACCCAACTCACTCACTCACTCATTTATATCCTGGGCCTAGGAAATAGGTGCGCGGACACACACACACACACACACACACACACACACACACACGTGTCAATGTCAATCTGAAGAGCGTATAACATTATATTGGGGACAAGGTACATGTACTTCATCTTCAAAGACAGATCATTCAATACAAAGAACAGTCTGATGCATAATAATATTTTTCAAGAATTTCCTTGAACATTTTATTTTTTCGATAAATGCTCATCAAAATCAGCAGCATGGTCAGTCAAACGTTTATTTGGCTGAATAAAAGTGGAGACAATTGCAAAAAACATATAAGGTGAAAATATACTTGATACACATGCGGGTAGTTATAAATATGAAGTAACGGGGATAAGCTGACACGCCATGATATAACTGGAATACAGTTCCAAGCGACGTCAAACCCACTGTGGTAGTGTTAACATACAACTCAAAGTTTGCTGAGGACCAAGTCTTGATGGTATCAAAAATTACCCAACACACGAGGGTGAAATATCCAGGAACACAATGATTAGGTAACCCAAGTTGGACCTGAATTTCATGATGAACGGACAGAGGCATGCAGTCATGGGCAAGATGTGCACGAGGTGCCTGAAAACCAGTGTGTCGTGACAGAATCGTTGCATCAGAGAGCACATTTGCAACTAAGGATTGCAACAACTGAATGCACTTATACCTCCTCAGCGTCAAAGACGTCGTTTGACGACCGAAGAATTAGTTAGATGTACTGGCAATCTTGACACTGGAGCAACACAAACAACATCACGTTGCACATGTTTTTGGTGTCAGTCAATGTGTGATCAGCAGGGCATGGAATCGATACCAGACGTTTGGGTCACCTACCCAGCTACGCATAACAGGCAGGCAAGTTCGGGTTGGGCTGACGGGACACGGGACACACCAGGACTGGGCTGTAGTACTTTTCACCGATGAATCGACCTTCTGTTTAAACTTCACAGATCGTCTTGCCCGAACGTGGCGCAGACAAGGAGAATGATTTCAGGATTCCAACGTGGCCGAACATGGCCGCAATGGAGAGGACTCAATCACAATTTAGGGTGGGGTCACATGAGATGGAAGAACCGATCTCCATACCCAACAGCGGGACACGATGAAAGGTGTGTGCAACAGGGGTGGCATTCTGGATGTGTAGGCGAGGCCGTATGCTCCTGCAATCGGACCAGACTTCATCCTTATGGACGATGACGCACGGCCTCCTCGTGCCAGGACTGTTGATGCCTACTTGGAGCAGGAGACCCTTGTTCACAAGGAGTGGCCAGCCCTGTCACCGGCCTTAGCTCTATCGAACACACGTGGAACGAGCTGCAGATCGTTTTCTCACGACGCCCGGTACTTCCGGCAACTCCACAGGAACAAGGCAATGCTCTTACTGAAGAGTGGAACAATCTTCCCTTGGCAACAACCCAGACACTTATTGGGAGCAAGAGACGACTTCGCGCTACTGAGAGGTTTGGCTTTTTTTTAAAAATGAATTGTGATTTTTTACCTTTTAGTTTTGGTCAGATACTCTCATTTTGACGGGGGATCTGACTGATCATTGGTCACATGTTGTTTGTTGGCAATGTGTGGCACATCTCAACAGACGTTTGTTCATAAAACACGCAATATTGTATTTGGGTATTTCAACAGATGCACACTATTTGACGTATTACTACTAACAGTGGTGATCCTTAGCAAACTTTGAGGAGTATATGACCGCTGACCTGTTAAACTGGCTTTAAATATTAAATTAGGACTTAGTACTTGCTTACTTACTTCTGAAATGAATAGCAACTTGTTGCTGGCCACTGTGTAAACTAAAACCACTCACTAACCATTCACATTATTTTCATTCTAACGTTCATACAGTCTCTGAACGATAGCAGAACCCCCGAGACATAACTCTTAGATCGGGACAGACGTGAAGTGTAAAGACTTCTGCCCCTGGTCGGATCTTTCATGGACAGCAGCTTCTTCGTACCCTTCATCGTTATCATTACTTCCTCGACAAGTGTGTACTCTTTAAACAGCTGGGTCTTTTCAACCAGAACACGTCTTCGAAACCTTGGTGCGTCCGATATGAGCTGTCCGTTTATAGCAATAACTCGATTTCCTGGTGATTTCGCGACAATTTTAGACATTCTGGACCAATTAGGTGAACTGTACCTTTCGACAAACACTTTGTAGTCAGCTTGACATGACCGCTTGGATATTATAATTTTTATTTCGAAAGCGATGATGACCCGCTTGTCCGGTATGCCGAGGTTGAGGGTAGCTTTACAATACCTGTCTGACCTTGGCCTCAGTGATGTCGGGTATATATATCCCTGTTCGTCGACCAGGCACCCAGTGAGAGATTGAAACCTGTGTTCTGGAACGAGTAGGTGATTGGAGTGGAGAGGAGGGCAGTGAAAGGGAGGGGAGGGGAGGGGAGGGGAGGCTGATGGAGTCGTTCTCGACCTGGGTACCATCGACATGTACCTGGGGTAAATTTTAGTCATCGCCACGAAATCACGAAATATCGCGTTAATCAACAAAGATGGCTGCAAACTTGCTCAT